TTTACAAAAATCTGCCACACACAGAGGCGACACATTTGCTCAACGACTCGCCGTGTTGTTCAATAATGTCACCATATTAAAAAGAGGAAGCAAATAATTGCACAAAATAAAATTGAGGCAGACCATAAATTAATACACTTACCAAGGATGGAAGATTTTGCACTGCTGCTTCATTAATATTCACCAGAGTATGTCACAACCTGCAAGTTCATGCTGCCATATTCTGTTTGTCACACTTGCGTGTGTGTGTGCATGTGTGTGTGCGTCAGTATGCTAAGCTTTGGGGATGTGAATGTTGTGTGAATGCTCTTGTGTTTATGTGCATTAGTTTAATTTTTGCCTACTGTATTTTTGTGTCCTGCATTACAGCTAGTTTTACTGCAATCGTTAAAGATCACCTTCAAATGACAGCGTGTGCAGTTTGGGCTTGCATATGATCCTGTCCCTTGCACAGGCATTTTTGTGCTTTGTACAAGCTGATGATTTGCCTTGTTAAGTCAAAGAATCAAATGGTGCATTTGTGATTGGCTTTTCTTTTCCTTGGTGCACAACTCCCTCTGGGCAACAGAAGCAATCGTGCACGTCTGTGGCGTCTCCCCTGTGCGTGCGTGTTTGCATCTGCACCCTGGGATGTGCACCATGTTCCATCCACGACTTTTATTTATTCCTTTGTTTGTGTTTGAAGATGCAGCCGCCTGGGTGGCCAGAGCGAGACAGTAGGCAGCAAAGATAAGTCACATTTGCGAGGACCATAGAGCAGACTGACGCCCTTATCATCAGAGAACGGCATGGGCTTCAGAATCGCTGCCTGCTGGACCCTAAAAACCTTATTTTGGCAGATTCATCTCCTCCCTTGCAGTCAGTGCACGGCAGGGGGCTGATGACTGTCGCTCACCTTTGCAGCTCAGTGTAGTGTTCTCCTGCACCACACTGAACAAACCTGCAATTTATAAATCGTCCTGAGGCATCAGGCTAAATAACGGCGTGAAATAGGCAGAAACCTAATATGCCATTGCCACACAGGACACACTGTCTGTTCTCTCTATTCTTTAGATGGTTCTCACTGAAGGATAAGTCTATAAAGATCTTAACTGCACAATTTATTTTGTATTCTGTACATTACAATATGAGACTTGGCTCACAGTGTGTTTTGTTTACTCGAGGGCTGGATTGTTCTTAGAAACTGTGTTGTTCACTGTGTCCCATTAACCAGACACACATCTGGCTTTGCTTTTGTCATCCATCCACATGCACTGTGTACACAGAATTGTTCTGCAGTAGCTGTATCCCCCTCTGCTTTTGACACCTGCAACAGTATTTACCAAATGTTCACATTTTATTTGCCCTAGCAGGTTCCGTGCAGTAATTTCCAAAAGGGGGGAGGGGCTGCATGCGTCTCTTGCATCTGTAAATTGCCAAAATTTAGTCTAAATGTGTAAATCTACTCTATATTCTGATTAAAATTAATTCAGTGCTTTCCGTAAAGAAAAAAAAGTCTCTGCCACACAGACAGTTGACATATGGCTCTGAGCCAGTGAATCAGTGAAGGTGTTCCCGGACAACTGCCAATAGTATTTTCACTTTATTTTTTTCTTCTTCACAGATTAGAGAGAGCAAACACAGAGGAAGTGACCCTCATCGTATCCTGAAGGAGACAAGACATAGAGCATGACCCTGTGTTTTCCTACAGTGCCAAAGAGTCAGGGAGAAGCCTCCATGGCCAAGGATTCATTGCCTTTCTGGCTCCACTGGGAGCCCTTATAAATCTGCTCCAAGCTCCACCGGTGGACTCACTCATCGTTCCTTCCTACACCAGGAGGCTCCAACCCGTCTGCCGGCTCTAATAACATCACTGTCTGTTGGCAACCACATGTTTGAAGTGACTGTATTTGACTGCCGCCGCCCATTCTTGAGCAGCAGCAGCTGCTTCGTGCGATCTCAATCTGCACCATGCAGTGGAGACGGAGGCACTGCTGTCCCATCAAGATGACCTGGACCGTTAAGCGTTCCCTCTTTCGGACACACGTTGCAGGCCTCATCTCACTGGCTCTTCTGTTTACCTTCATCTTATTTTTCAGCCACCAGGACTGGCTTCCGGGACGCAGCGGACCCCGAGAAAACCCACTGACCTACACTATTAGGGGTTTCCGAAGCCCCAAGGGAGAGGCAAACCAAAACAGTTCTCTCAGGAGCCTGTGGAAGGAGGCAGGGTATGCAGCACCAAAGCCTCTTCTCAACCTCAGCTCTCAGCAGGCCGACGGTGTTGCAGGAGACGCTGTAGGAGGTGGAGTAGGAGCCAGAATGGGTGTAATGGGGCTCGGGGACTCCATGAGTACTAATAGCAGTTTACAAAAGGAGATGGGTGTGGGTGGAAGGCTCAGTGCTCAGCCTTACCGCTACATTCTAAATGAACCCTTCAAATGTCGGGATAGCACACCTTTTCTCATACTCCTCATTGCTGCAGAGCCAGGACAGGCAGATGCTCGGAATGCCATCCGCCAGACATGGGGAAATGAGAGCGTGGCAGCAGGATTAGGATTCGTTCGCCTTTTCCTGCTGGGTAAAAGACAGAGCTCAGACAGCCTTCTTCAGAGCAGCATAGAGGAAGAAAGTCATGCTTTTCATGACATCATACAACAGGACTACCAGGACACTTACTACAACCTAACCATCAAAACTCTTATGGGCATGAACTGGGTGGCCATGTTCTGCCCACATGCCTCCTATGTGATGAAGACTGACAGCGATATGTTTGTCAACACAGAGTATCTCATCCAAAAGCTGCTGAAGCCCGAGCTGCCTCCAAAGCAGAAGTATTTCACTGGCTACCTGATGAGGGGTTATGCACCAAACAGAAACAAAGACAGTAAGTGGTACATGCCACCAGAGCTGTACCCAAGCGAGCGCTACCCAATATTCTGCTCCGGCACCGGGTACGTGTTTTCAGGGGACATGGCCGAGCTGATCTACCAGGCCTCTCTCAGCATACGCAGGCTGCATTTGGAGGATGTTTACGTGGGGATCTGCTTGGCCAAGCTGCGAATTGACCCGACACCCCCGCCCAATGAGTTCCTCTTCAACCACTGGCGGGTGTCATACTCCAGTTGTAAGTACAGCCACCTGATCACGTCGCATCAGTTTCACCCCAATGAACTTATCAAGTACTGGAACCACTTGCAGAGCAACAAGCACAACGCCTGCATCAACACGGCCAAGGAAAAAAACGGCAGGTACAGACACCGAAAGTTTCACGGAGAGCGACCTCCCTGATATTTCCTGTGACCAACAACTGCGACAAAAGAAAGGGGGGTGGGTTGGAAGCACTGTAGCTGCAGCTTTGTTTATCTTGGCACTATTAGACCATGTGGGGAAAAAGCACATTGTTTTTTTGGTATTGTGTACAGTTGATGATCCAAACTATTTTTTTAATTTGAAAAGTTAATTATTGTAAAACTGGTGAGATGTCTCGGAAGGAAAAATATATCATAGGTTGTTATACTTCAGGTGCCAACAGAAAGGTGGCAAAACCTCAGTTAAAGAGACTCTCCTCGTCCCGGAGGTAATAAATATGTCACTCTACAAGAAAAAACTCAAGACACAACCTATGTTTACACAGACAAAGGGAAATATATGTGTATTATGTCAGACGCTACCTAAATATGAATGAAAGTATCCTTGACATTGACCAGTTATGCTGCCCTGTTTCTCTGTGTTTATGTTAGATATTAATCAACGACAAACCACCTCTCATACAAACTGTATTTTATTTCAAAGGGATATCCACACGAAAGCGCACCAGAGTGGCGTCAGGAGACCGAGATTGTATTTTTTAAAGCTTTACTTTGAGTATGACTGCACTTGAGCAAATGTGCAATGAATCAAATAATTATTAAATGTATTGAAGTCATTTCGCTGCCAGTGTTCTCTGTGTTTCTTCTGTGTATACTGTACCTGTAATTATTTAGCAGGTCAAATGAAGACCATCAGAAGCACATGGTATTTATTTAAAACACTATGTTTACTGAAAATAGTTTTAAATAAATCTAATATTTCAAATTTGCATACTAATACCACATGTACTGCAAAGTGTTCCCATATGTAATATTGTCATGTTTAAGCAAAAAAGTCTTAATTTCAAATATGTGTTGGAATTTTTAGAAGAAAACAGTCTTAATGCCTAAGAAAATGCTGCTGTTGTTAGGTAAAAGGAAGTTATTTTTTGGTATACAAATTGGTCCCCTAATCAAACTCAATTATGTCTCAATATTTCTAATCTATTTGCATTTAATTTCAAATCACTGTGGCCAATTTTGTTGTTTCCTGGTAAATAGTTACCGTCCTTAAGTGAAAGCAACAAACAAAAGAGTTAAAGTGAGGCAGACGTCAGAACAGACAGCCTTTTACCTTTTTTTTTCTTTTTTTTTAGTTTTTTTTTTTATTTCGCTCTGTCTTGGTGCTGATAATAGAGTCTGTGAAAGTGGCTGCAGCAATTTTTCAATTACTGGACACTGATGACGTGCTGGTCAACCGCACATCCTCCTCCGCTCCTGCCTAATTAATTAACCTCTGCAAGCAGCAATGCTTTTTTCATTTACATAAAATTTAGTTTTTAATTATACTGCACTCGTTAATTAAAAAAAATAGATAACGTTGGGTACAACACATTAACAAATAGCAAAAGCCAAATGTGTTTGGTAACAATCCAAACATTTTCATATTATTTATTTTAATTACCCTCAAGTGTCATTTAAGGTTTGGTTTGTGGGAAAATAATGACAAGGATAAAAGAGCATTGAGCGTACGGCTGTGTTTTCCACTGCATTAGTCGACAGCATAAAATACCTCCTTTCTATTGATGCCATTAAACATTTATAGCAGTTCTCAAACTTGTTCCTACAGCTCCCTCTTTCGTATGTGGGACAACTGCCCTCAGACTGAGTGCAAAATTATAAGAGATAATTCAAACACTGTAGATGTAACTTTCACAGGAGATTATAAAGTATTGTGATAAAATATAAAATATATGAATTTACTACTCACTGCATAGATCTGCATTCCATGGTGTTCAACAGTGTGTGTTTATGTACATATGTACCTGTGTCTTAGGATGTGTGCAGGGAGGCGTGTTAATTACAAACTCTGGTGCCTGGGGTGGGGGTGGGGGTGGCGTCAATGAAAGGGCATATAATTGGGTGATGACTCAAAATAGCCTTTATCAGATTATAGTAATTTAATTAAAGTAATGCAGAGCAGGAGCTCCAGCATGCCTGTCTCTCTCCACTTTACCTCTGTCAGTTTCATTTCAGTCATTTATCCGCCTGAGTGACTCTGTTTAGGTGCTGAAAGCGCCACACTAGTATATTTTAAGCCATGCAGAGGAGTCTGAGTAAGGGATGAGCCGATATGTAGAAGACAGCAGAGGGTGAGAATATCCAGATCATCATCTCAGATTAGCATCATGCCAACGAGAATGCTTTCTTTCGCTTGAGCCACGGGCCAAAAGACAACAGCTTTATTTATGACTTTGTACACACTCGTGTCAATGTCACTGTAGCTACAGCTGATTAGCTGTTACGGCTGCAGTTATTAGGTGTTCGAATGCAGGTTACCGCATCATACCGTTGGCACGTGCATACATTTTCATATTCATGCCTGTGTGTGTGTGTTTTGTCTTTCAGCGGCACCTGTGGAAAAAACAGGTAAGAGCCATAGTTGTGTTTATCTCTACTGTCTTTGTCAGTGACACCATCTTCAGCCTCTCCCAGGTAAAGTGTGGAAAGAATCTTTTTATTTAAGTGTCAGAAACATCACCGGCAGACATCCCTGTGGTATTTTGTACATACACTATTGTTTCTTGGAGATAGGTGTGACAGTCCAGAACTAGTCCATTTCTCACAGATGCATAAGTGAAGTCTCAGGAGCAGCAGTGAGTATAGAGTCACAACATGCACCTGATGGGGACAAATGCACTCACTTTTTTGTGTAGAGAAAAGATACAACACACAGTTGGTTTTCAGTCACTGTGTCCCAGTAACGGTTAAAGTAGAACGGTGATTTCTAATCTCTGTATTGTGGCACACCAGGGTGTGGCTTGTTGTGGAAAATGAACTGATTCTAATTGTTTATCTGAATAGGCTGTTATTTATTCACTTCAAATATTGTGTCTTTGTTTGACAATATGACAGTGACAGGCAGAGTTTGAAATAATCTTCCACTAGGTGGCAACGGATGGCTAGTAAGATCCAGAGATCCAGAGATTTTAAAGAAGATCCTTCTTCAATTACTGTGAGTATATCAGTGTTGTGTTCTACTAAACTGACCAGGGTTTAATACTGAGTAAGTTAACTCTGGGTAAGTCAAAAGCAGCAAGTCATTTTATTTTGTTAATGCATTTTTTGAAACATTTTTGTCAGTTGGTGCACTCTGGGATTCTTCTGAAGTAAAGTATGTGCTGTGGCTCAAAAAAGGTTCTGAAACACTGCAATAGGGTCATGGCAAATTCTACGGCCACCGCTTGAATGTTACACTAATTCATGAAACAAAAAAAATTACTCAACCTCTAAGTATACACTGGCCAACTTTGCATGCCACATTACAGTCACTACTGATAAAAATGAGGAAATACACTTTAGGGGCCGGTCTTGCATGGTGAATTCACAAAATACTCAGCTGGTTTCCTGGACTGTATTTATCACCCTCCATTAGTAATGATTAAAGTCATGACTCAAAGCGAAAGGATATTGGAAACAAGGTTGGGTATCATTCATGCATGTCCTATGCAATCAGAGCAGCAGATTGCCAGCATCCGGACGCATTCAGCCCTAAAGCAAATAATGAAAAAGAAAGTGGGCGTGCAGGGAAAAAAAGGGGGAGTGGGAAAGAGCTGGGCACGGTGGGGGTAAAAGTGAGGCAGAGATAAATAGACTGGTCTGGTTCTGGGGAAACGAGGAGGAAGAGGTGAGCAGCATGAGCTGCACAGGAAACAAAGAAATGGAGTCAGGTGGCTGTGCGCCTGAGTGAGAAGGGATGTGGAGGAAAGAAGAAAATAGCAGGAAGGAGGCGGTGATGAATGAAGGAGTAAGGAGCAGTGACTGATCAGTATTGAAAACCTGTGCTGCAGTAAACGTGGAATAAGAGGCTAACAGTGGAAACTGATTGAGATGTCTGCCGTGATGGAGTGGAGGCTGCGGCCCAGCTATAACATCGCTGCTCCTCACAAACCAGGGAAGAGAAAATACACTTGAGGAGGAGACAAATCTCCTGACCTTTCCATAAAAGCCAGGCATGGGACCAGAGTCATATCCTTCCGTGGGAACGACTGATGAATCCTAATGGGAGTTTGAGATAAAAATAACTGTGTTTGACAAAGAAAATGATGAATGTCAATGCTGAACATCTATTACCTTGTTTCTACTGCAGGGAAAACATTATTTGAAATGCATAATGTTATCATTTTTAATTATTGCGCTACGTTAAAGTCTGTTAAGGTCAATTCTAGGACGAGGATAATTTTTATTAATGTAATAAAAACAGAGAGTTTGATGTTTAATAATTGATATTTAACAGCAACTGTTATATATTGATATATATTTGCAATTCTATCTTCCTCAAATTTAATACAATAACTTAAATGTAAATGTTTATAATAGTCTCCGATGTTTATTTAGTTGTGCAACCCGATAATTACAGCTGCAAAGTCAATGTATTTATGTACACAGAATCAGCGCACCATGGGCGTTCATCCATCAGGCTAGGCCTACAGCAGCATGCACAGGAGGTGGTCCAGGCTGACCGGTAAATTTTTAGATTTACAATGATCTAAATTATCAGAAGAAGAAGAAGAAACTTATTTTATTTTCAATAAAATATGCAATAAAATATTCTTTAACATAAAAAAACACATCAGGTTTTGATGAGTTTTTTTATGATTTATGAGTAATTGTGATTTGCACAATTACTCTTTTATTTTCACGTGAGCCAAATGTAAATGAAATTAGACACTTCTGAAATAAACCCAGGGAGAAATTGATGTAAGGAAAGGAAGAATAATCTGGGAGGTTGGTAGTCTCGGTTGGGGATTAACTAAATATCCTGGATCCACATGTTCTCATGTAAAGAAAAACCTCATCTTTCAGTCGTTCACGTCTTCACAGGCGAACCCTGCAGAGCTGCACTGATTCACTGGTATTTCAGAGCATGCCTCCAAAGATCCACAGCATGATCTGCCACATATCTAGACCTCTGTTTCAGACTTAGAAGTGCTTCCATAGAGGTCAGAGTGATCAAACACAGCTTTCATTCTCACAGCCATATCATCACAGCAGAGAGCGCTGACTAGTCTGATGGGCGTTTGTTGCCTTTCTCAGCTGACACCAAAGACTTTTCTCTTCAAAATCTTAGAAAGTGCTGTTCTTTAGTTTTCAAGGAAAAGTAAAGTTGGCGCAGGAATATGAGCAAACGTTCCAAAAAGAGGGCTAAAGGAACTTTTTATTCTTAACCCCCTCAGAGACAGGCAGAACTTATACTGTGATATAGTTTATCACAGCTTGTGATATTGTTTTAAAGAAGAGCGTATGATTTATTCTGGTTTTCTTCCAACAACCAAACTATCTAAACCAACATTTTTGCCTTTTAGCCATTGGACCAATGAAGCTATTGACTAGTGTTATGTTGGTATTAAGCAACTCCTTAAGTCTATGATTAATTTGTCCCTGCACAAAGGTCATGGTCCTGTAATTAAACCACTAATTAAAGTACCCACTCTTGATGTTGCCCACTCTCAGACCAACAGTTGTTGATCAGATGTCCATCATGTTGGAGATCACATCCTAAGTCTGCTCAGACCTATATTTGTCGTCGTCTTTTGCAGTATTCAGTCAAATATACTGCTTCTCTACTCAAATGATATTAATCAATTCTAAGCGTTGGGGTGAAGTAGATTAGACACATTTAACCCAATAGATTAGTTTGCATGAAACTAATGAGTTCACCATCAGACAAGACAAATACTATTTTAACTATTTTAACTACTATACTATTTTAACAGTATTGCAGTGTAACGAAAA